CACATTAATCTGTCAGTTTTCTGATTTTAAGACATGGCAAAATAGCTCTTGCCAGAGCAATTTTCTCATTGAGAAGGATATAGCAAACTGAAGAAAAACATTTTTGCAACAAACCTTTTAGTGTCTTGATTTGGCAAAATGTTGCTGAAGTTCATTCCTATATTTCTCAAACCAGAAATTTCTGCTCTTATTTTGAGACACTGATATGTTCATCACTTCAATATGAGTTTGTAAATGTTCTTCGTAACTAAATGCTAAGTATCTCATATTATAGGATAGAGACAATTAAGGTATTTATTTATGGAGCAAATGAAAATGAAGCTGCAAAGGAAAGAACAGAAAAATATTCTTTCTTTATAGTTGAACTTTTCTATCTTTAGTCATAAAGATTCCTGTTATTATGTAATTTTTTGAATATTTTTTATATAGGTAGTCCTTGACTTACAATAGTTCATTTAGTGATTGTTCAAAGTTACATCGTCATGTTCTGACCCAGCAGAAGCAAGAAACAGGCTCCTTGTCACGAAAAAAACCCTCTTTCCTAACTGCTCTGCACATACGTACATCTGGAACAGGTCCCAGCTGTTCTTCCTCCTCACTCATCTCAGCCTCTAAAAGCAGTTACCTCTCCAGTGGCTAGGAAATGTCAGATGGCCCTGGCTCTATCTCTGTGTCTGACACAGAGCATCTATCAGAGACTCCAGAACTGACCCAAGTTCCTCCCCAACCTCCTCATCATCCAAATCTACTGCCAGCTCTGCTGGCAGCTGGTAGGCCACAACACATCACTGGAAAAAGTGATTTGTGACCATTTTTCACACTTACAACCTGTTTGAGTTTGCAGCGATCCAACCAGCACACAAGTAAACAATTCAGCAGGATTCATGTATAAAAGAAACTTCTTTATATACAATAATATAAATCATGATGCACGTATACAATACCCATGCAGCAGAAGCCAGAACCAGAACTCAGAATCCAGAAGTACAGAATCAATTTAATCACAGAAGCAATAATAATCCTTATATATTCAGTTCAATGAAGCTAAGCCACGCACAGGCTCCGAGCCATCTCCCCTGGCTCATAACAGATCCTGTTTCTTAGTCACCAAACAGTTCCCATTGGCTGACTTCTTGTTATGGCTATCCCAGCTCATAATTACACTGACACAACCTGCTGCAACATCCCCGTGGTCCCATTATCAAAATTCAAATGTTTGGCAAGTTATTCATATTTATGACGGTTACTGTGTCCCAGGATCATGTGGATTACCTTTTGCAACCTTCTGACAAGCAAAGTCAATGGGGAAGCCAGATTCACTTAACAAGCATGTTACTAACTTAACTACCACAATGATTAATTTAACAAATGTGGCCAAGAAAGGTCATAAAATGGGGCAAAATTCACTTAACAACAGTCTCACTTAGCAGCATAAATTTTGGACTTCATTGTGGTTGTAAATTGAGGATTGCCTTTATTATGTGCGTAATCATTCTTTGTAAGTTTCCTTGAGCTGAACTGCTCCCTTATGCAAACAATTGCATCACAGTGACAATGGTGATATTCTTTGTCTTCATTTATTTCCATTTTCTTTAGCTATAGACTTTTTGTTTCTCACAATTCTTCCAAGTAGTTCTCCATATATTACAGGGGCAACTTATGCAGTTTGAGCATTCTATAATCCTATATACTCCTTGTATGCTTTAATATTATAGATCTATATTCCTGAGATTGATTTTGCAAATGGAGCTTACACAAGTTTATTTTTTAGCTGTCAGTGTGTGGGAGGCTATGGACATGGGTCAGTATAATACAATAGGAAATGGGGTCAATGGTTTCATCTCTGCTTTCATCCTTATGCAATCCTACTCTGTTTTCCCCAAAATAAGACCTTTTCTTGTATATTTTTTGAACCCTGAAATAAGCACTTGGCCTTATTGTCATGTGCTCAAAAGCCCGATTGGACTTATTATCAGGGGATGTACTGATATACAACAGAGTACTTATATAAATTGGAATACAGTTTGTAGATTACACAAATTGTGTGTGTGTGTGTGTGTGTGTGTGTGTGTGTTTCTAGATCACCCACCTCCCTCAAGAAGTTGTCAGAACAAACCATCTTATCAGTTTCATAACTTCCCAGAGCATTCCATGTGGAATTCTTATTGGAATTAGATATGGGTACTATTTTACAGGAATTACACGTAGTCTTTTAAACTCAATGTCCATAGGCTTTGGTCTCCATAATTTGCAATAGAAGAATGAAGTGAACAGACTCTTGGGAAAATTTGGAACAAATGATCTGGTATTACTATGTATAAAAACAGGCATTTTGAAAGAAATTAACATATATATTTTACATATTACTATGCAGTGCTACTTCAAGGGTGTATGGCACCCATAAGTCACTGAGTCCTAGCTCCATCTCCCATTAATGCATATAATCTTATTATTAGAATGATTTGGAAGATGTTTTGATGCTCTAGACTAGCGTGTCTACTCAGGCTTATTCCTAATTGGCCCCGTTCCTACTCATATCTTACCCAGAAGTATCTGCAGCCCAATATATTGCTTAGATCACACTAAACTTTAAAATTTGTATTTTACTGAATCTTTCAAAAATCTAATTTCTCTAAAATACACAAGAGATACAGACTTCTATATCTCCATTTATTGGGGCACTTTAGGTTAGACCTATAGCTTAGGGTTCTTCAGCACAATTTCTTTTAAGGGAAGGCACTGGTGTGTATCACATGACTGCTTTAGAATTCCAATTAGAATGCCACACATACCAGATCAATCAAATGTCAGTAGTTCTATATCTGTTCTTTTCTGGGCTATTATTTTTCTATAGCCAGAAGTTGAAAATATTCTCAAAGAATAGCTTTAGTCATAAACATTGGGCTCAATTTAGTCTTCTGACAGATTGATCTACTATGTCAGACTTTAATACTTCTTCTATTATTCTGAGAGTTAAAGCCATCATATTAAAAATGAAATTCCATATTATGCTAAGAATTATCCTTTTTTCCTCCTCCAGGTTTGGAAAGTAAATTACATAAATTAAGAACACAATCATATGAAACTTTTATTCTGAATGAACCTATCTGAAGAATTTTGCAACATAAAAACAATAATTTAACATTATTCTTTCATTTACTACTTTTCTACCTAAAGTGGGACCCACAATATTGCAAAAAAACTTTGACCTATTTTTTCCAGCTGCATACAATATGTAAATTTTGTAATCCATATGGATGAGATGGGTGAGCTAAGAGGGAATAAAATAAACATTAATAGCTTGAGAGGGAAATACACAGATGGACCCATGGATATGTTTATGCTTTGAATATATTATTTTTACTCTAGATAACTTACTCCATTTATTGTTTCCAGCTGGATTCACCAGAATGAATATGAATATATTCAGGAAACTATAGTCTGACTGATTTTCATCTGGCTATAGTTGCTTTAAGCAGCATTTGACAGTATGAAACTAATTGAAGTAAGCAATGCACAATAGGGAATCATTACAATTTTCTAAGGAATTATTCTGTAATATGGCTTTGGAAGGTGTGATGTGGAAGTTTTCTGCCAGGCTGATCACTTGAATTTTTAGTTAAAAATACACAGTGATATAGTATTATGTTCTAAGATCTATGAATTTATGTGTTGTTTATATGTTACTTTTCCTTTAACTTCCTGGGAAATGGTGCTTCCTTCAAGACTTTTTATGATATTATAATTCATCATATTGTATATTCCTCATATGCTGAGAGAATCATCGAGAAATTTGCTTACTGGAAAGATAATACATATTGATTACCCAGTTCTATTATTAGCAGAACAAAATTAAGATTTATCAAGTCTTATGTTACACAGAGCACTTCCTCAATTTTACAGCTGGTTCCAATATTCTCAAATAACGTAATGGTACGTGGGAATGACCTTGGGATGCAACCAAGGCAATCATCAAATAAAAAGGAACTTACCATATTTTTCGGAGTATAAGACACACCTTAGTTTTTGGGGAGGAAAATAAGAAAAAAGCTGGTTGGCGGGTGGATTGGCCTCCCGGAATATCCCCAATCAGCTGTTCCCGGGGGTGAAGTTTAGCAAGAGGTTGGTTGGTTGTGAGCTCTGTGCCTTGCTTTTTTTTTTTTTTTTTTTGCTTTTTTTTCTGTCTCTGAAAGCCTCCAAAACAGACCTTCAGAAAAAAAGCCTCTAAAGCTCTGTTTTGGAACTTTTTTTCTAAAGCTCTGTTTGGAGGCTTTTTTTCTGAAGCTTTGTTTCTGATGCTTTTTTCAGCCTCTGAAACCTCCATTTGAGAAGCTGGGCGGGGCTACATTCAGAGTATAAGAATGCATCCAGATTTTCACCCTCTTTTTTGGGGGGAAAAGGTGCGTCTTATACTCTGAAAAATACGGTAGCCTGCGGTAGGAATGTGGGCAAGCAGCTCAGAAGGATCCTCTCTAGTTTCATGGGTTATAAAGGGAACAGAGGGAGAAATGTACTTTCAAACTGTCAAGATTCTGTTAATGTAACCTTACAATAAAATAGAATGAACATGTTTCTTGTCTAGTCTACTTTACAAGATTGACAAATAAGTAGCACGGCAATCAGATATTAAAGAAAGATGGAGAAATATTGAGGGATTTGATTGAATTTCAAAATTGTGTCATGTGTAATGCTGAATATTTACTGGATTCAACGTTTTTGAATTTAAATAATATTTCTGCTAGTGAAATATTATGCAAAAAGAATATTAACTTCACTTCAAATGCTGTACTTAGAATTGGAATAAGATGTTTCCTCCTTAGTCTATTACACCAAACATCATAACTAAAATTAATAGCTGCTTTTCCCAAAAATGCTGAAAATGAAATGAGTAGAACAATTCTTCATATGTGGTAGCAATGTTGCAAAGTTCAAAATATTGGAAATTAATTCATCGTGAAATGGAACAAATTTTGAAAGTGATAATTCTCTTTTAACTTTAGATACTTTTATCAGCTTTTACCAACGCACACATTGTTTCAAAATGTGTATATGATAACAGCTGCAAGGACTTTACTGTTTGCATTTAAAAACCACATTGGAAAAAGTGTGTGATCCCTTCTATGGAAGAATTGTAAAACTGTGAGTATGCTTTGAAGTATAGTATAACTTGAAATCTAAAAACTAAATCTGATGTACAGTTCATTGTTATTTAGAAATAATTTCTAGATTATTGTTCTATACATGGTATTGTGCGACATCTAAAATTTGTGAGCTGTAATTTATATTTTAATCTGAAATATAATTTACACATTATTTACACTATTTTTCAATATGCATTGTTTAATATGTATAGCTTTTTTTCCCTTTATTGATTTCACTTGTGCTATCCAAATAATTTTTCAGTTCAGTAGAGACTTGTCTTGATAATAAATTGGGAATTAAATGTTTTATAGTAATTTATATTATAAATGGCTTATTTGAATATATTAGCTCTAAGATATTAGAACATCTGGTTATTCAAGATTGCTTGGTTATCCAAGTGTTCAATTATTATATTACTATATTTTCTTTATTATTTTAAATATGTATCATTGTTTCTTTTTGTTTTATTATAATTACTTAAATTATAGTAACAATTATTTTTTTAAAAATAGTAAAACGGCTCACTCGATTATTTTCATGTGGTGAAGTGCCTTAGCAAGGCAAATAAAAGATTAACTCACTTAGGCCTAGAGTAAGGTGACCAGATTTTAACATTGGTAAAGAGGGACATTGTGGGCGTGGCTTATTTTGTGGGCATGGCTAGCTGGTCATGTGACTGGGTGGGCGTGGCTAGCTGGTCATGTGACCGGGTGGCCATGGCTATGTGTATAGGGTAAGGTGAACAGATTTTAACATTGGTAAGAAGGACACCATTGTGGGCGTGACTTATTGTGTGGGCGTGGCTTGGAGGCCATGTGAGTGGGTGGGCGTGGCTAGCTGGTCATGTGACCGGGTGGCCATGGCTATGTGTATAGGGACTACTCAGAGGGCTGAAAAGTCATTTCTGACAGGTCCTCACACTTTTGACTGGTCCTCACACTTATGACCATCCTCACATTTATGCCCGTGCAGTATTCTTAACAACCATGTCACTCATTTCACACAACTGCTTCTCTTCACCATGGTGACAAGATAGGGCAAAAACGTAAAATGTGAGGACAGTCGTAAGTTCGAGGACTGGTCAAAAGTGTGAGGACCAGTCAAAAATAACTTTTTCAGCCCTCTGAGTAGTCCATATGCACAAAAGGACTAACCAGAGGGCTGAAAAAATCATTTCTGACAGGTCCTCGCACTTTTGACTGGTCCTCACACTTATGACCATCCTCACATTTATGCCCGTGCAGCATTCTTAACAACCATGTCACTCATTTCACAACTGCTTCTCTTCACCATGATGACAAGATAGGGCAAAAATGTAAAATGTGAGGACAGTCGTAAGTTTGAGGACTGGACAAAAGTGCGAGGATCAATCAAAAATAACTTTTTCAGCCCTCTGAGTAGTCCATATGCACAAAAGGACTAACCAGAGGGCTGAAAAAAGTCATTTCTGACAGGTCCTCGCACTTTTGACTGGTCCTCACACTTATGACCATCCTCACATTTACGCCCATGCAGCATCCTTAACAACCATGTCACTCATTTCACAACTGCTTCTCTTCACCATGGTGATAAGATAGGGCAAAAAACATAAAATGTGAAGACAGTCGTAAGTTCGATGACTGGTCACATGACCAGCTAGCTACGCCCACCCAGTCACATGACCAGCTAGCCATGCCCACAAAATAAGCCACGCCCACAATGTCCCTCTTTACCAATGTTAAGTAGTCCATATGCATAAAAGGATACAGCAATAGAGAGGGATGAAGGAAGGGAAGGGAAATTAGAGTAGGAGTGAGGGTAAGAGAGGGAGGAAGAGAGGAGGAGAAGGAGAAAGGAAGAGGAAGTAGGGAGGAGAAGAAGAGGGGGAGGAAGAGAAAGTAAGAAGGAAAGAAAAGAGAGAGGTGGTAGGTTTGAGGAGAAAGATTGCTGTACAATAAAAAAGATGAAAGGGAAGAAAGCCAACCCCAAACAAATATAAAGATATTAAGATAAAGAATGAATTGTTAAACTTTAAAGAATAAAAGAGAACAAATATGAATAAATAGCAATAATTAGAAACACACATACAAACATACAATGTATTTTCTTTGAACAGAGTATTTGGCCAGTTCACAAATTTAAACAGTGTTTAGTCATTTCAATTAAATTTACAATTTCTATATTTCCTTTTTGCCATATTTATTCCTCATCTATTTTTGTAAAAAACCAATATTACCCTTCATCCTCATCTCTAATCTTAATCAAATTCAATTTTTCCCTTCTATTCTATATTATACCCCTTCCCATTGTCATCTATTTTTATATCCATCCTCACATTGTTTAATTATGTAATTATGTAATACAGTTGTTTAATACAAATTCAACATTTTAATATAAATCAATTAGTTATAAAACTATCTTTTTTGTATATTAATCAATATGAACATGAATATTCCAATTATTTCCATGCAATCCAATTTCTTACAAATCAATTAATTATATTTACCAATAATAATAAACCAAATAATTTCCCCCATATATTCCTCTGAACCACAACTTAAACATTTCTGCTTTCAACACAATATACAATTAATAGTATCTCAATTCAATTATTACAATTCCCTAGTTAAATACAGCTTTTTTTTCTTTTGTGTTTTAAAATCTTGAACTCTCCTCCTAAATTTCCCATTGTTTGCAGTTTTTCACCTACCTTTTTTGGGGAGGAAAAATAAAAATAAAAATAAATCTCTCTCTGCCTCATTTTGTCACGTTCCACCAAAGATCCTGGTTTCGGTTTCGTTTCTGCAGCTTAGCTAGGGGGAAAAAAAACTGCTTCAGGAACTCTTTACACTGATTGCCTGTAGGGCGGCCCTTTGAAGCCCCGGGCAAGAGTTTAAACAGTTTTTTTTTTCTTCTAGCCATCAGCTGGGGCTCAAGAGGCAGCGGGACTGAGGAGGCAGAATGAAAAATCGGGACTTTTTTGAAACGCCGCAGGACGCGGGACAAATTGCTAAAAAGCGGGACTGTCCCGCCAAAAGCGGGACGTCTGGTCACCTTAGCCTAGAGCTGAGAGTAGAGGTGATGATTCTTGCTTTTGAGACAGATCTGTTCTAGACTTTCTCTTTCTCTCTCCTCCCACTACACACATTGCTTCAGCCCCTTGAATGAAGGAATAAAGCATTATTCTTCACCTGCCTGGCTTCAGAACAACCTGCCCAATTTAGTGCTCAAAAAATCTGGTGACAGTCTGCTCACATTCAGAGAGAGTGAGGATGAACATACTAGAGAACCCTATGTATTGTTCCTAAGGGAATATTGGTTATTAAGCACAGAACCGTTTCTATTTGTATAACTGCTTCTCCCAGGTGACGACCTGAAGATTACTGTTATCTAAAGCTATCATAGCTAGAGTGCAAAATGAAGGTGCTTGGGAGAAGGCAGGCTAGAGAGTTTTCTGTTTTTTCTGACTTAATTGCCCTTCTTGAATTTCCTAGCTAAAATCTATTACACCATCTCCTAAATTCCTGAACAGAATTTATTTTAATGGCATTTTTATTTCTGAACTGTTCTAAAATCACAACGCATAAGCCATGTCATTATTGCCACAGTCTAGGACAGGCAGCTCTCAGGCTATGATGAAGCATATTTTTTTTTTCTGGACAGAATCAAATCTGCCATATTTTCTTAGATTTGGGTAGGGTGTTTTGCAGTGGTGAATTTCAATTTTTTTTACTACTGGTTCTGTGGGCGTGACTTGGTGGGCATGGTGTGGTGTGGCTTGGTGGGCGTGGCTTGGTGGGCATGGCAGGGGAAGGATACTGCAAAATCCCCATTTCCTCCCCACTCCTGGGGGAAGGATATTGCAAAATCTCCATTCCCACCCCACTCTGGGGCCAGCCAGAGGTGGTATTTGCCAGTTCTCCAAACTACTCAAAATTTCCACTACCGGTTCTTCAGAACCTGTCAGAACCTGCTGAATAACACCACTGGTGTTTTGGGAGAGAAGTTCTTTATTTTTTTAGGCAATGATTATTGCTACCAGGCTCCATAGACATTGCTGAGCAATGTAACTGATTGCACTTTTTTTACTTTCTTCGGCTGCAGATAACTAAGCTGGAACATTCTATCTGGATCACAGATTAGGTCTCTGAATTAATATGCCCTGCAGACATCTTTGTTGTGCATTAAATTGGGATGTGTTCAGTGCCCTATTTGAAATCTCATGTGTTCTTATCAACTGACGTGTACTTTTGGCCTTACTTTCCAGGGATTGAAACCTTGTATAAGGTTTGATTAATATTAGCCCCTGATTTTTTTTTATCTCTGGCTTTAGCTCAGACCATAAGAAAGGCCCTGCAGGTTTTCATTTTCAGAAAAGTTCAAATGCCAGCAAAGCCTTCTAACTTTAATGACACTTTGAGAGGAGAAACTGATTTAATACTGCTGGAGCTTTGAGTGCACACAAGGGAACTCTCAGAAGTCTTTCATGTGGATTGATAGTGTGTTTTCAGAGGATTTAGAGACAGCATTACGTCCTCTAAGGGTTCTAAGATGTGTAAGTCCTCTTTACTATTTATTAATATCCTCAAAGAGGCAAGCCCTCTCATTTAGTACTTGTGCCTTAAACCAAGAATAGATTGGAGATACATTTTGTTCAGTTGCCATACTTTTCTGATCTTTGTTGTTGAATTTTCATTTGAAAAGAAAATGCATGCAATGCATGCAAAAAGAAAAAAAAGTGACCCTTAGGGAAAAAAATATGAACAACATGATTAAGAAAAAATATGTTTGCAAAATTTTGTCTCTAGAGAAGCCTCCGTGTAACCAACATTATTGTCCATTGGGCATTAATGGTATTTATATTTCCTCAAGGCTTTCTAATGTAAATTAATGCATGTTTTCCCTCTTTTGGTATAGTTATTTTGTTTGCAGGTTTGATCTTATTTTTAATGATAACAGAAGTTGTTGTATAAGTAACATATAACCAGTGTTGGGTTTCAAATTTTTTTACTACCGGTTCTGTGGGTGTGGCTTGGTGGGCGTGGCATGGCTTGGTGGGCGTGGCAGGGGAAGGATGCTGTAAAATCTCCATTTGCATCCTACTCCAGGGGAAGGTTACTGCAAAATCCCCATTTCTTCCCAATCAGCTGGGACTCAGGAGGCAGAAAATAGATGGGGGCAGGGCCAGTCAGAGGTGGTATTTACCAGTTCTCTGAACTACTTAAAATTTCCACTACCGGTTCTCCAGAACTGGTCAGAACCTGCTGAAACCCACCTCTGCATATAACATGTGTGTGTGTATGAGAGAGAGAGGGGGGGGTATTTTTATTGTTTGTCTTGGCAGATTGGATTGAATTAGATAATTCATATTAATGGTACATATGAAGGTGAGTCCACCCATAGGGATAGCTGTGCACAAAATTTAGCAATTGACTTTATTTTATTAAAGTAAATATTAAAAAGAACTTTCCAGGAAAAAAAAAAAACAAGAGACCTGCAAATGGACATGGCAGAATTGTTATTTGAACAAAAATGGATGAAATTGACAGAGAGATACAAGGGGAAGGCAATTTCATAAATGGCCCTCTTTCCAGGTACAGCAGTGAAATGCTTTTTCCCCTTCTTTTCTTTCATTTAGCTGGGTGAAATTGACAAGAATTTTGCACATTTTCCTACCTCCAAATGACAGGAAGAACTGTAAAACTGCCCCTCCCTCATTTCTGTCCTGACAAATAAGCTCATAGAAGGGAAAGCAATGGTATAAGTGGGAAGAAAAAAGAAGTAACGAACCTGTCAATCAAGGGCTATGTTAACTGTGGTCAGTCATTGTAGCTAAAGTGAAACAAGAAGCTAAAATGAAGAAAGCGATTTCTTAAGCACCTTCATTTCCAGCCAATATACATATAGAAAGCAAGCAACTGAATGCTGCTGAGTGGAAAAGTTCTCAGTTACTTAGAAGTTCCTAATAGGTATTTTATCTACTGCATGCTGAGTTCTCTCCCTTGCCCTTATGATGACCCTCTGAAGGCTTATAATCATAGAGAGGCCAGCAGATTAAAAAAATCAAACAGGTGAAGTTAGATTACCATCCTCTGCAGGACAGTAATCGTTTTAAGGAGGAACCACACAATGTTTCCCTTGAAATGTCATAGGTAATATCTGACTAGGTAATATCTTCAGTGTTTGAAGGGAGTGCAGTTTTCTCTCTGTTTATATACAGTTCCTTGCCCTCTCAGTATTAGTGGCAGTTTTCTCTTGTTTTCTCTTTGGTAGATCCCTGATTAGGCTGTCAATTCAGACTTGTTTGTCTGAATTGGTAGTTCCTTAATTAAGGGATTATTTATTGCTTGATTGTTCATCTGATATTAAACCTTTTTGTTTCCTTCTTAGCTATTTTATAGTCTCTTTTGACTAGTGTGCAAATGTTATTTATCTCTATGTGCCTTTGATGGTTGATTTTTCTGAATGCCATGCTTCCAGGAATTCTGTAGTATTTTTTGGTTCTAGCTTGTGTATCAGGGAAGACCAATGCCCCTTCTGTAGTATTTTTGGTTCTAGCTTGGTCTAGGATACTCACAGTATCCTAAACCTGCAGGGCGGCAACCTGACATCACCCTCTCTGTTTATCAAACATTATAAGTTAAATATGTGCGCCTCAGTGGAGGCGGCATTTGGCCGCCGGGTCCTTCAACAGGTACATATGGATGGAGAGACTTCTGACTAGATGAGGGCCCATCTGTAATTCAGGGGACAGCCAGCTTCGGTATGTCCCATTCCTGGATGCTGTCTCAACCTAGAGGGAGAAAGGGCATTGCTCTTATCTGATATGCACCTTCTCATTTGGTGGACACAGCATCCAGCCCCACCCTTTCCATTGTCTGGTCTTCACTTAACAAGACTTTGAGATACCGACACTTCATATTCATCAAAAGCGGGGAAGCCCTAGCAACAAGGGCAGAGCTTAACAGCTTTGACAGACTCAGTCCTTCAACCGAACAGACGAGAACAACCCATTCCTGGATGCTGTCTCCACCCAAGGAGAAGGTGCATATCAGGTAAGACCAACGCCCCGTCTGTAGTATTTTTGGTTCTAGCTTCGTTTAGGATACTCACAGTTTCCCAGTTAAAATTATGGTTAACTCTGTCCATGTGCTATGCAATTAAGGACTTGTCACGATACCTTCTGACTGTTAGTTGGTGTTCATGGATGCACACTTTTAATTTTCTGCATGTCTGGGCCATATAGAGGCTGTTACAGTCCTTAGACTGATGTTATAGATGACTCCTTTTTTTTTCTTCTGGGGCTATTGGGTCCTTTGGTTTACCTTAGATGTTGTACTTGGTTTGTATAGTGATGCCAAGTTGTGATAAAAGGCTGTTGGTGATTTCTGGAATGTTTTTGTTGCATTACAGTGTTATACTTTTCAAAACTTGTGTTGGTTATGCTCCGCTGGGTTGAGAGTTATGGGACTTTTTGATACAGTTGCATGGATATCCATTTTATTAGAAGGTTTTCTCTAGTCATTTATAATGGTCACTATGTGTTCACACATATACCTTGTTCGGACATATGCCCTGGACATCTTTTAACCAAATACATTGAAAATATCCTATCCCATTCATTAGAAGTTCACTGCAATACTTTTTTCATTCTAAAGCTTTCAAAAAGAAATTATTTTTCATTACATTTAATGACAACAAGTTGTTGTTGTTTTTAAAAAGATGGTACCAAGGTTGGATTTGTTTTCTGGATAGTCTGAATTGGTTGAGGAATTTTGAATATTACAGAATGTACAGAATGTATGTAGAGATGTAGAATTTTCTGAAAGATCTTCCAAAATTTCTCCATTTCAGGGAGACAGGGCAGGAGAGCCATACATCAACCAAGTTGTCTCACATCTAGCCTTTGAGTGATCAGAAAGCAGTCAGAGGTTGATTTTAAAATATAAATCCAAAGCATATATTCATTGGAGAAGCGGATGTGGAAGCCAAAGGGAAAGCCAGCTAAAAGATGTTAAAATATGCTTCTGGAGGAAAATGTTCATTGACATTTGTGCATGACTAACAACTGGTGCAGTAAAAACTCTATCACGATAACAAGGATGTCTTCTTATTTTTCCTTTCTCCATCTAATACATGTTATTTGCTTTACTTTGTATTTTTTTTTTTTTTTTTGATGGAAGGTTTGGGGGATAAACAATAGTATGTGACAAACAAGATCTCTCAGTCACAATTTATGCCACTGAAAAACAAATGTTCCTTATATTTTTCCATAGTTTTTTAAAAAAACGGAATAGAAAGATATTTTGCATTGCATTATCCTTGCCATGGTACTCCACTCACGCCTTTGTGTTTTAAGCACTGAGCCACTGGGTGTCTGCCAAGCAAACATTATGTCTGTGCTTGTAATAATGATTTTTAATCTTTGATTTGGTTTGTGCAGCTGTCATTGATCAGCACTGTCTTGTCACCTATTTGCTTTGGCATTTGAATCCTGGTAACCATATTTGTTCAACTAGCTTAAGTGCTGCAGAAGCCCTGGAGGTTGTTTGCAATGTTTATCTGTTAACAGGGTTCAGTATAGATTTATGCATCAAGTTTCAAAGAAATGTCATCTATTTTCCCACAAACCCATTCTTCTATACTCTTTGTGTCTGCTATTTATATTATGATTAGAAAGGAAATACTCAGATAAAAAGTTGGGCTTCAGAGTATGACTACATAAGGGACTTGTCAGGAAAGTGGCATCATTATTTCATCAGAAAATAAATGTAACCAGTGTAGAATAAAAAGGCAACATGTTAATTAAAAAAAAAAAAACATTAGATTCATGGCATAAAATTTAAATTTGATTCCAGTAAACAGAAATGATACAATTAGTCTGTCAAAATATTTGCAGTTCATTTAATTTCAGAACATTTGTGTATATTTCTTAGGGTACAGCAATAGAATTTAAACTCTAGAAATGATAGACATAATTGTAATAAGACCTAGATTCTAGAGATCTCTAAAATGGAGTCCGTTATATTATGCACCATCATCAATAGAGCAAAAAATTGTAGGTCTGAGGTCTTGAAACTGATACTCTCATTTACATTGATGTAAGAAGTTAGTATAAAGTTCTGTAGTACTCTGGATATGGCTAGTCATAAAAAAGATACTTACCTGATGGAAAATTCACCTCCCATATTTCTCATAATTCCACCCACCCCCCAGTCAGCAGCCAACACAATGTCCATCTGTCAAGCCTCACATAGCTAGGCAAGTCTGAGGAAGCAAGAATTACATAGATTTCAATAAGATATCCTTAATGCTAATGTGAGGTAAAGACAAATATCTTACAAATGAAAAAAGGAATTTCCCTGTAACTTCATTTATAGTGAACTTATTAAGGTAGGGTCTCTTTGCATGACTTGAAGTGCCTCTCAGATTCTTATATCTGAGCTAAGGTTATGTTTCATTGTTTATGTTTGCTCACCCTCCCATTTTTTACAGGGACTCTGGGCAGTTTACAATATGAGAAAAAGATAAAAGAAGTTAATAGAAATTAAAATTAAGAGAATTAAATAAGAAACTAAAAATCAAAATGATGATTGACATGGAGGTGAAGATCTTCTCTTGACCACCTCAGATTCCCCGAATACAGCACGCCTCTATCAGGGGTAAGTCTACTGCAGGCCAGCCAGCAGAGCCAGGTTTTCAGGCACTTCTGGAAGGTCAGGAATGTAGGGGCAGACCACACCAGGGGTGGGTTCTACTTACCTTTACTACCGGTTCACATCACACCCGCGCATGCGCAGATCACCTATGATGACATCCGGGTCAGTTGATGGAGCCTCCCACTGGTTTTACTACCAGTTCTTGTGAACCTGTCAAAACCAAGGGCAACCACCACTGGACCACACCTCCAGATGGAGAATAATTCAGAGGGTGGGGCCCCACAAAAAAAGGGCTCTTCTCCCAGATGCCACTAGCTGAAATTTTTTGGAAGACCAGATCCAAAGTAGGCCTCTTCTTCTGGAAAGAGTAGGATGGACCAGTCCCATTGGAGTGAGATGGCTCCTAAAGATATTCTCAACCCATGCCATAAAGGACTTTAAAGGCAATGACCAACACCTTGAATTGGACCTGAAAAAAACCCAGAAGTGCAGCTTGTGCAACAGCAGTGTTACATGTGCCATCTGAGGGGATTCCAGAACAGTCTGCATCACTATGTTCTTGTTACGTTGGAAAAAGCTCTTTGTTAAAGTTTTAATAAAACCCCTTTGATTTATTTTACTTTTTGTTTTAATTATGTCTGTGTGCCCTTCAATAAGACTGTGTATAAAAAGGCATGACAATTCCAAATTATATGGGTTAAAAATATAATCAAGAAATCAATAGGCTATGTATATGTACTCATGTATTCTATAACTGTGATTCTTTGAATCTAAGTGTAAAAACATGCTCGGTGTATGGTACAAAAATAAAATATATTTGCAATTTTTAAAAACCTTTTCCTGGTCCTTGCATGCTTTGAGGTATTTTTTTTAAAATCAAATCCATAATGCTGATTAGCCCTACCTTATAGTATTATCATAGCTGAACAAAGAAATCTTAGAGAATGAAAAATAATCACGCTTTTGGTTTAAAGAATTCAAGTGGCTTATAAATGGAATGTTCATTGTATATGGTAGTCAGTATGAAAGGAAAAAGAAATCTGCTGCTTTATTTATGAGTGGCACATGGGAGTTCATTTCAATCACATTTAGTTTATTCACAGAGTTCCATTATGAAGGACTGAATTCATTCTGATCACTTTGTCAGTGTCTGAGAAAATTGAACTCTAACATATTTCAATCCCCAAATAAATTGCCTGGTGCTAAAGAGTTTCAAATAATTGTTAAATTTCCATGTTCCTCAAGGAAGAAAACATGTCTATGATTAGTAAAGTAAGTCAGAAAACATAGTCATAATAAAAAGATATCCTAATGTTGAAGACAGCACCCCAATAAGACTATTCGTATTAATTGATATTGATTCAGTTTGTAATTACTAACTAGACTTCTAGATATGGGATTTATAGTCCTCTGAATTGCTCTTTAAATGGTATAGATTTTCTTTACTTCAAAGAAAGATGAGTTTGGTATGAAGGGGGAAAAAAATCCCAGAAAAAATATTCCTCTTCACTGCTCAACCAGTTATATAATCCAGGTAAGTGAAGAGAAAAGTAAATATAATGACTGACCAACCAATATAATCTATAGCAAATAATAATAATAATAATAATGAATGATACAGAACTGTTTAGATAGGTTTGATTCATTAAGTAGAACAAAATTTTCACTTACAGATATATTTTGCTTATGCATTCCATATATAAACAGCCAAGGCGTATCCAATTGTTAGGAATGAATGAAACATTATTTTCTAATATATTTATAATTTTTACACATTCATTCATAAATACTTTCCGGTCCATTTCTGTATAAATAACGTTTTTTAAAGAAATATTTTTTGTGGAATTTATAAAGTGTAACTTCTGTTTTAAGCTAAAAACAAAATGTTTGTTTCATTTTTGGACAAAATATATCACAATATTTGGAGAAATGTGAAAACCAAAAAAAAGAATGATAGCAATCTAACAGTTACATTGAGAAGTCAAATCAAGCTGTTCTGTTACTTAGTAGACAAAGCACAAAACCTTGAATAAGTGTTTTCATAATTTAATGCTTGATTTGAAAGCTAGAAAATTTAAAATATTTTATGCCATACTCTTTATAGATGCAAAATGTACATGAATTGAATTCAACTGCAGTTACATGGGTGAAATAAGATGAGCATTTCATTAAAATTCATAAAAATTGTGAATAGGATACATTATTTCAGATGAGAAGGGGGAAAGTTCTTTCTTCTTCGACTCGTATGCCCTCATTAAATGGGTTATATGAACATAATTAGATAAAGTACCCTTCCCCAGTCAGATGCTGTTCATGTACTGAACTTCAGCTCCACAACTCTTCAATCAGCGTGCCTGTTCATTATGCTGTTAGTTTTTGGAGCTGAAACCCAAAACACTAGGATGATCTAGACTGAGGAAAAATAGAACAATCTGTATCTGTGTAAATTAATCAGTGCTAAAGGTTTATGTACTCTTGCTAGTGCTAGATGCCTGTTATGTAGTTGGCTTGAATCCTAATCTTGCAAAGCTACTTGATGCTTAGAATCATTGCTGTGAGTTTTTCCACTTTTATTTATAGCAGGTGCTAATTAGCTCCTCTTTGAGGATTTCAAAAGCAAAATCTAACATGTGTACAAGATGCTTTCAATGTTTTGGATTTTAGGTCACAACACACTACTGTTAAAGAAATAAAAAAAATAGCTATCTAGAATCACAAAAACAGAAACATATTTAGGTCTTTGAATCCAATCTATTGTTTAATACAGGAATGCAAATTAAGGCATCCCAAATAGATGGATGTCTAGTTTCCATTTGAACATATTCATATTGACTCAGCCTTCCATCCTTTCGAGGTAGGTAAAATAAGGACCCGGATTGTGGGGGCAATAAGCTGACTTTGTATAAAAAAGAACACCGCTTTGGGGGCGGGAAAGCCCTACTAAGCAGGTATATACAAAAGTATGAAGGCTATTGCTTAACACGTTGTAAGCCGCCCTGAGTCTCCGGAGAAGGGCGGCATATTAATCGAACCAATAAATAAATAAATAAATAAATAAATAAATAAATAAATAAATAAATAAATATTAATTAATTTCAATTAGGGATTTGAGAGTTATGATAAAGGAGAATCCATAATCACTCTGAGCAATAGATTCCACTACCAAACTGACATTAAAAAAAATATTTAAAGCTATTAGTTTACTGACATTTGTGAAATGTTGATAATTCTAAAGAATGCCTTTGGTGAAATGAATGTGTGTGTGTGTGTGTGTGTGTGTATGCAAAACCTTTCTTACAAACTGACAGCAAATTATTAGTTACTATATTCATAGTAGCAAAAAGGAACCAAACAAGTCCATTCATTTTGCTATCAGCCATCCTTTTCTTATCTTTCTTTCAC